CATAGTTACTGTTCTAGTTCATTGATTTCTTTGTTGATAGCGTTGTGTTGTTCATTTTTGACCTGGTAGAAACATGGTGTAATCTGATTCATTCCTCCATTCATTCATTCATTCATTCGTTCGTTCGTTCGTTCGTTCGTTCGTTCGTTCGTTCGTTCGTTCGTTCGTTCGTTCGTTCATTCATTCACATGTCATTACGTCCTCCTGGATGGATTGCTTGATCAGCGCCTTCCACATGTAGGGAATGAATATATTGTATAAGTTAATCATTTATAGCAATAAATTGTACGCCTTGGACCTGTTTGAAATAAGCCACCGTTCTTATGCATTCAATAATTCATTCTTTCAACATCACCGTATCATTCATTCTTTAATAATTCTTAGTCGATAGGCGTTATCACAAGTGTATTCGCGGCCATTGGGGCGACGTAAGAAAAGAAGAAACCAACTGGCCCCAAGATCTTTAAATTATCAGTTAGCATGCACCTTTTCCTTGATGTGTAGAGAATTTACCATTATTTGTTACAGAAAATTGCATTTAAAATCTTCCATTTATGCTTTTTTCATCTTTTGCACAATATGTTCTTTTACTAAGCTAGAAACACTAATTAGAAATAGTTCCCGCATCATCAAGAACAATAGGGAAGGCTTGAAGTGAATAAAATAATTTAAACGGTTTTGTAATCTATGTGAGGGCACTTCTAAAATTGCCTGTAGAAATATTGAAGGCAAGAGTTCAACTTTTTCACAAGACGGATGTCTATAAACCTATTTAACTTGTGACAACTCAGCCGGTATTTCGTCGCCTACAGCCCAGCTTTCCCTAGTGACCGATAGAGGCGCTGCTATCGATGTCCGCCCGTGCCGCCTAACGTTTTGCGTTCCAAAGTAATTTAAAGGATGTTTGACGTTGCTAGTGTTTCACTTCCTATTCAATCATTCCTGTTAGGTAGAAACTACAGAATCAATGCTTTCAATCATTCATGTTAGGTAGACAGAATCATTCACTCTTATTTTACAGTGACGCCTGGTACATTTCCGCCATCGCCAGAGTACACCCAGCAGAGTTCAAGGTCATCATAATCATGACACATTTCATGAGCACTCAAGTCAACTTTTCCAGCGGTGGAACGCCAGACTAAAACACATCCGGACGCTGTCATTGCCACACCCAGAAGACATTCAAAAATCTCTGCTCGCCTCCGGACGTATTCAGACCCCATCCAGGGCAGAATTGGGGTCATAAGACAGGTCCACTTCCAGCCGCGAAACTTTCCACCACAACTTAGCTAGATGGGATCGGAGAGCATCTGATATCAATGTGTGGTCCAGAGCTCGGCACTTTCGCTAAAAGCAAAGTTCGAGCATTCATGAGTACGTACAATTAAAGACATCGTTATTGAACTGCTATCGAGGTCTCTCCCAACTTTTTTCCAACAAGTCTTTCTCGCTATTTCAGCATTCTATTTAAACACATTCATGGATCAGATGAAAATAAAGGATAATCTCACAGCACAGCAACATACAATCAGTCTCCATAACATTCGCAGCAAATCATGCATCTGCTGAAACAATAAATGACCCAGTCGTTTTGCAAGTAATAAATTTTTCCCTTCATCTGAAAAGCCGAGTAGCCGTATATCAAACCTGTCATTGTCAATGCTGCCAGATGAACTAAGGAGCTTCCAGAATCCCGATGGACTGTTTTGTGGCGACTTTGGGCAGAAAAGGAGCTGCAATTACGATTCCGATCGCCAAAGTCCCGGTCGATGATAGAAATGATATCGAAAACCAGGAGGAAGTATTCAGGCTTGTCAGAAGTTTATTGCGGCGGTATTAGAAAAGTTCCAAATTTAGACGGGTTTTAACTCGATTACCCGAGAACCATGACCGATATTTGCCTTCAGTTGTTTTCATGAATGATGATAATTTGGGAAATACTTCAATCTCTCATACAATAGGTACACTCGGGGGCAGATTGATGTTCCACAACTCTTTATCCACCGGGTTCCTATGGCTCAGCATTGGCAGCAGCCGCCTGGTACCGGTAGACTGTGCCGCTTCACTTACTTGTCAAGCGGCACAGCCTACCAACACCGTATGCCACCGGTCTGGGTCGGTGGCTGGAAGGTGATGTGGGCCGCCTGTGACGTCAGCGCAGCGGTGAGGGCCGAGCCCGGAGGCATGGCTCGGGTCGGCGCGGCGCGGCGGCTGGCGAGGGCTGGGGAGTGAGGTGGGGATGGGAGCACGGACCATCGCGCGGCTGAGCGAGTGTAGTTAACTTTCGCGTCTCAAGGCGTCAATTATTCTACCTAACAATTGTGCTAAAGCAGTTGTTAAAATGTCCTATCCCCAGGACAGCGCCTATCATCATACTTGCCACGCACATTACGACACACTTAAACGTGGCATTGGGACAGCCGATAGAATTTATATCACACGTGCATCGAGTTGCGGAGCTACATTGTTTTTAACAGATAAGTATTAAGGCCTTGATTGAGCTCATTGGTGTCTATTATTTCGCACAGCAATCGTCCAGAGACGTGGGAACTGGGGTTTTTGGATAGCGCGGCGTCCCAACTTTAAGCAACTCTTACTTGTTTCTCTAATGTGTGGTCGCAGCCACCAATAGCAAACCGTTCCATCTAGGAACAAATAAGTCGCGCACCTGGGGGCTGGGACGGTTCGAACCGGGTTTCTCCAACCGGTCACCCCACGACGCTAGCGTGTATCCACTGAGCTGCCGAAACCAGCGACCACCCGCCGCGGTCAAACGCGATCAAATGTCACAATACTGTCATTGGCGGTCAGCGGGTGAATGTCATTTTGTTTTGTGCGGAGGAGGACCATTCTCGGTAGCTCAGTGGATGAACGCTCGTGTCGTGTATTGGCCGGTGGGAGAAGCCCGGTTCGAGCCCCCCTGAGTGGCCGACTTTTTGGCTCCTAGTTGGAACGGTTTGCTATTGGAGGCTGCGACCACATATTAGAGCAACAGTAATAGGTAATCGCTTTAAATTGGAGCGTTGGCTGCGGCGCTACTCATAACCCCCAGTTCCCACGGCTCTGGACGATTGCCGTGCGAAACAATAGACAGCAATCTGCTCATTCAAAACCTTAATACTAATATGTTATACAAAATATAGCTCCGCACCTCCATGCACGAGTGACATAAGTTCTATCGGCTGTCCCATTGCCACGCTTAAGTGTGTCGTATAATGTGCATTGCAAGTATGATGACAGGCGCTGTCTTGGGGATAGGACATTTTAACAACTGCTTTAGCACAATTATTAGGTAGAATAATTGGCGCCTTGAGACGCGAAAGTTAACTACACTCGCTCAGCCGCGCGATGTCCGTGCTCCCACCCCACCTCACTCCCCAGCCCTCGCCAGCCGCCGCGCCGCGCCGACCCGAGCCATGCCTCCGGGCTCGGCCCTCACCGCTGCGCTGACGTCACAGGCGGCCCACATCGCCTTCCAGCCACCGACCCAGACCGGTGGCATACGGTGTTGGTAGGCTGTGCCGCTTGACAAGTAAGTGAAGCGGCACAGTCTACCGGTATCAGGCGGCTGCTGCCAATGCTGAGCCATAGGAACCCGGTTGAAAAAGAGTTGTGGAACATCAATCTGCCCCCGAGTGTACAATCTCTCAAGCATGCATCATATTCCTGCAGCCCGCTAAAACACACAACACAAGTAAAATGAGAACTGACGCAGACAGGCAGACAGGCAGACAGAAGATCCAGCATAGCAACACATTTTGTCGCGGCGCAAACTTCTGCGCCGGAGTTCTAATCTTAAACTTTGCGGCTAAATGTCTTCATAAGTCGTAAAGTTGTAAAGCCGGAGAATATTTGGGATTCGTGCTGCTTTTAGTTGCAGAGCGCTCACTAGGACCTCGAAATGAGTGTGTTTGGTCACTTTGACCTCGAAATGAACATTGTTGGGAGGTCTGGCCTGCTCCTCACCAGTGTTTTGCAATAGATCTGCCGGTAAGGGCCTTTATAAAAACAATCAACTTGAATAAAACACCAAGACCATGTACAAAAGGAGTGAGTGGCTTTAGGGATGTCGATGATAGCTTGATCAAAATAAATGTGTCCATTGACGTTTAAAAATTAGTCAGAATAACTATAGCATACCTATTACACGCATTGCACTTGTCTGTGTTCGGTTTGAAGGCATCCGTGTGATACGGATTCTAACATGTATCACCCCATTCCCAAATCCATTATGCATCACTTCACCACCCAGAACCCTTCCTACTACCTTCCTATTTCCCATTTTCCGGTCCCACCGAACCCCCTCCCCCCTTCAACCTTTATTTTAGTGTTCCGGTAGGTACGACCAGGCATCACGTATTTGTGTATTGTGTATCAGTAGCGGCGGAACACCTTCAGTTAAGGGGGGGGCACTGCCGACTTTTGGTCCCATTCTTTCCATGCAACACTCAAAGGGTTTATGTATTAAAATGCCAAAATCAATGGGGGGGACACGGTGCCCCGGTGCCCTCCCCGTTCCGCCGCCTATGTTGTGTATCATATATTTGTTCCATAACCGAGAGGACTAGAATTGGCCCTCTCACTTTGAGCGGTAACTAAGGCCGATCCCCGCTACCTATATCCCAGTCCGTGAACGGCATTTGATTCGGACTCCCCCACCCCACCCCAGTCGTCAAGCCATAGTTGATCCGTCCACCCGACTTCAAAAGCGTCCAGTCATTGCCTCGAGTCGGCAGCGACCCACCCGGCGGGTTAGTTCATCAGGCTACCGCTAGGTGGCCACAAATCCGCTTGCATTGCGGTTATTAGGAAGCCGGTTGAAGATATCGCAAAATAGAAGGCACAGGTCGGAGGGCAAATAGGTTTGACGTTATGTGGGTACTGAAAGGATTCTCAGGAATGTATATTGTTGACGATATTGAAGAAAGTTGTCTAAAACTTACCACAAGAACAGATTACATGTCAGTGTATTATAAGGCACGTTTGAGGCGACTTCACCCGCCCAGATGAGCATCGGAGGTCCGGTGTGCAGGCTTCAAACCTGTAGACGACGAAAGTCGTAGTGGTTCGATTCCACCCTCTGGGCGGAAACTTTTCGATGTTCTACCCCAACGGTCGTTGCATGCTTTTCAGCCTTCTACCTCAACGATTATTGCATATTTTTCAACCTTCGACCTCAACGATCACTCAATGCTTCTCAACCTTCTACCTCAACGATTATTGCATGCTTTTCAACCTTCAACCTCAACGATCATTGCATTCAACTACCATTCTAAACATTGGTGCACCACTCTACCTTCGAACATGTATGCGATAAAAGTTCGTAGTGGTTCGATTACATCCTCTGGGAGACTACTTTTTTACTCTATCGTTACTCTAAATCGTCATGCTCGATGGCGATTTAACGATTAACGATTCATGTACGAAGTGATATACGATTAACGATTCATGATAAATGACGGTTTAGAGTAACGATTAACGATAGGTCTTTGCTGCATTTATACTGTCAGCCTGTCTATTTTCATCGACCATTGCTTTCCATCCATTCCCAACATAGCACCGATCTACCTTCAAACCTGTAGACGACTAAAGTCATATTGGATCGATTCCACCCTCTGGGCAAAAACTTTCCAAGATTTTAACTACCACTCTATTATACCATTACCAACCAGTCTATTTAAATCATTTTCAGCATTCCACCATTCTACCTTTGAAACTGTAGACGACGAAATTTTAAAGTAGTTCGACCCCATCCTCTAGATTTTGCCCTTCTTTTTTACCATCTAACCATTCTTTTCCAACGTTCCATCATTTTATTTCGACCATTTTCTAAGTAAACTTATGGACAGGCACTTTTCTACTCTGCCATTCTGATTCACCATACAACAATTCATTCGCAGTGAGGTGGGAAGTTTTTTTTTGGGGGGGGGGATAAGTCGGGTTAGAAGCGTGAGCTGATGACCATGACAGCTTGATCGGCGGGCTGGATAAACCATGCTATAAATAGACAGAGTTTGCGGTATTTACGCGCATCTGAACATACAACCGCATGCTGGATCGTAAGTCATAACGTTTCGTCTAGTTGTTTACTTAACCCGCGACCTGGTGGGGGGGGGGCTATTTTTTGCCCCCCCCCCCTCCAGACTTTTCGATATATCTCCAGAACCGCTGCGCCGATCGTCACCAAACTTTCAGTACCCTCCCGGACATCAATTTTACACATTGTGACCAAAAATTTTTCCAAAGGCTATGATAGGTTGGCCGGAAATGACGTCAGAGTGACGTCATGTTCTGCCGTTTTCGACCCAAAAAAGGGTTTCGCGGGAAGAGCTGTCAGGCCTATAGCTTTGCAAATACAGAAAAATGATAAAGACATAAAAGGTGTAGATTGGACAGGGCTACAAAACTGCTATCTCGGATTTTTGAAATTTTTGGATTTTGACCCCCAAAAATCAAAAAATAGATTTTTTGGATATAATAATCGAAAAATCCAAAAAGTTTTTTGAATTTTGCAAAAACCGGAATATATGTGATAGTCCTTACCGCCTTACATCCACATACCAAGTTTGAGATTGATATCTCTTTTTTTGGCGAAGTTATAGCGAAAAAACTGTTCAAAATTGATGACGTCAAATTTTCAAACTCAATTTTTTGCAATTCTAGACCCCGTAGCGCAAAACAAAGACCACCATTAGACTCCCCGTGACGAGCTGCATCGAATCAATACCCATTTTATGCAAAACTATCAACTTTAAAATTTGACCTTTTTTGGCCTTACCTTGACCTGACCTTGACCTGAACTTCACCAGAAAGTGACCTAAGCCGTACCTGATAGTCTTATAACCAGCACCATTGAGTTGGAAATGAAAAATTGGCCATAAAACATGTATCACACAACCTTAGTAAAGTTGGGCTCATGTGACCTGACCTGTGACCCTTGGTGACCTGACCTGTGACCTGACCTGGTATTGCTAGTGACCTCTAATAGCAACATATCTACTAGGCAACTGACGCCCTACCGCTGATTCTCGACAAAATGCGTTTTCCTCGGTGTTATAGCGCATTCCCTAGAAGACCCGTGAACGGTGAAACATTTCATCTTTGACCTGACCTGTGACGTCATCGGTGACCCCGAGATCAATGAAATTTGGTTTCCCTCGACAAATTTGACAGGCGTTTCGAACGCCGTTTGAATTTTGCGGATCGGTCCAGTAGTTTCGGAGATACGAGGGGGGCAAAAAATAGCCCCCCCCCCCACCAGGTCGCGTTATAAACAGACCCCACCAGGGCGCGGGTTAAGAGGTAGATACACTGTAGCGCTTTTCACGACGGAACATTGCTCCCCTCACTTATCGCACAATGCGATGCTGAATAAATGATGATGATGATGATTGATGATGATGATTGGGATAACACACCTATTTGATCTGGTTGATCCGTTTGATAGGTCCATGAGAAATGTTAATTGTTTACTTGAAGGGTCCCCACCTATCGAATGAAATGCCGATACTCTTTGCATCTTTGATTTCAAATTCAATCAAATAGGTGCCCAAAATTCTGTCATAAAAAGATACTTGAGTGAGTGCGTCCGAAATGCCTCGTCTCGGGATCCTAGAGTCATTTTGTCGCTATCTACTCTAGAATATATCGAACTCCGACTTTTTAATCGCCATCACCAACAGCGTCTTATCAGTGCCGGCTGTGTGTTATATAATCAAAACCTCAGGGTCCAAACTCCATAAAGGACCACACAGCGGCGGCTGTAAATACTGCTGATAGCTGCCACTTGAGATCGCTCTGATAGAGCGACCCCCGAGGCTCCGTTTGTGGGCAGGCGTAGAGACGTGTGATAAGTGGCCGACGGAGGCGAGACCATGTATCCGACGTGTTGCGCAGCTTAACCCGCGCGGGGCTGGGGTCTCCAGCCGAACGCGCGGGGCTGGGGGGGGGTAAATTTTACCCCCCCCCTGTTATCTCCCGAACTAACGGTCCGATTTGGAAAATTCAAACGCCAATCGAAAGCTCTCATCACGAACTACTAAAAACATGTACTTAATTTAAAGTTTGAGGTCAAGGTCAAGGTCAGGTCAAGGGTACAAATTGCAAGTTTCTACAGTATCGGCCTTGCACCGTAGTTGCCGAAGAATGGAGTCATGGACTGAGACTGATCGCCCAAAACGTGTTCTTAGGCTACCAAGACAATATTCGTTGCATACAATATCATTCAGAGGTCAAGGTCAAGGTCAGGTCAGGTCAGGTCAGGTCACCAAAAAAAACAAAATATAGAAAAGGGCATGTGCGACACATGTTTTATGGGTCATTTTACTCATAGAATTCAATAGGCACACTCAATAAGTGATATGGACCACCTCTGGATGAATTTCAGGTCAAGGTCAGGTCAAGGTCAGGTCAAGTGAGGTCAAATTTTGAAGTTGGTTGTTGAGGCCTAAAAAGGTGTCTATCTGATGCAGTTTTTTCACGGCGAATCGAATGGTGCTATTTTTGTTTCCGTACGAGGTCTAGAACTTCCAAAAAAGTCATTTTCAAAAATTTTGTGTGTCGTGACGTCATAAAATTTTGAATAACTCCCACATTTTTGAACCGATTCTTCTAAAATTTGGTATGTAGGTGCACATAGACCACTTCTCTGACATATATTCCGGTTTTTTCGATAGACTCAAAATTTTGGATTTTATAATGATTTTCCCAAAAAAGTCAGTTTTTTGAAAAAAATTAGGACAAAATCCAAAATTTTCAAAAAACCGAGATAGCCATTTGATAGACAAAGTAAAATTACGTATAACCTTTTTTGTTACGTCTTAATTCCTTTAAAAATGAAGATGTTAGCGGCGTTTGAACTTTTGCCGTTTTTGAGGCGAAAATGACGAACATGACGTCACTAAAACGTCAATTTCTCAAAAATTTTCCGACGGATTTCGCTCAAATTTTCAGGGAACGTGTCAAATTGACGTGAGAAAAGGTACTGAAAGTTTGGCGGCGCTGCGCGCCGCCGTTTTTGAGATATCGCGAAAATTCGCGAGGGGGGGTAAAATTTACCCCCCCACCCAGCCCCGCGCGGGTTAAGATGGTTGACGGCTGACAACCTGGTATTAATACATACTTTACGGTGCGTTCACTGGAGATTAACCGTGCGTTAATTCGAAGGTAGCCGTGCACCAATTTAAATTGGTGCACGCGCGTGCAGTGATGACTTTCTCGACTGAAGTTTTTCGGAAGGGTCATTGACTTTATTCTTAGAATTCCCATAAAAGGCCCTTTTAGTGGCATGGGCTAGGTTTAATTTTGATTTAAATTCGCACCGTTAAGCATGTATTAGTTTAACACATGGTTTCCGTGCATAAATGGTTTTAACGCACTCGTGGATGGAATGGAGCACTTGTGCGTTAACCCGCGAGTTGCTGGGGGGGGGCGTTAAACGCCCCCACTTTTTTCGCCGGGCCATAGTATAAAAACGGCGCGCCGCAGGCGCGCCAAATTTTGGGTACCTGTAGGGAATTGATTTAAGTTTATTGTGACATAGTTTCAAAAAAATCGGTCGGAAAATTTTTGAGATATCGAGGTTTTAGTGACGTCATGATTTCTGAGTTTTCGACCAAAAACGGCATATGTTCAAAAAATCATATAAAATCACAGAATAGACATACAGACATGCTGTAAACGCCATTAGACTGCCAATGCCATGATCAATCAAATGGCTATCTTCCATTATTGATTATCGTTCCGCATTTTCCATAATCTTGAACTGAATCTTGGCAATTTTTCGTGACTACTTCACGACCATGATATATGAATTTCTTAAATTGAACTTTTTGAGCCAAACACGTACACATATGATAAAATAAATGTCACCATCGTGTTCTACGCCCCAAATTACCTATAAAACATGTGTCACAGGCTGCGAATATTAGTTTTGATTTTCTGGGATATGTGCCTACCCGGTTGACCTGACCTTGACCCTGACCTATGCTTGACTGACCCCTACATGTAGCTGACACTCTTGTAGGCCTTATAAGATGGATTGTGCACCGTTTTGACAGAGTTTATGGCGAGAGGCGCCCATTGCGAA